GTTCACTGTTAGTTTCCAGGGATGATTCTGGTTTTAAACAAATTCTAGTGAATTTTGATCATCGTGTACTTGAATGCTCTCATGAGGTCCAGTGCACTATTTGAGTGCTTATATGTCATAAGCTGCGTAAAGCAGGTGCTAATGTTTTGTTTTGACCGCACATGGGGTCCTCTGTTCCAGTGTCCTGCATAAGCTTATCATATTGTGAAGTGTAGTCACCACACGCTGGGATGGAACCCTGGATCTTGTTCCTTCTGTCTCACTTTCTTTGCTAGCTGTTCAACCTCCTTGCTGTCCCCAGGCCCCTTCTTCCCAACCTGGAGTAATCACCATCCTAAGTCTTACCATTCATTTCTTGTGGTTCTAATGGTTGAAACTTGCAGAGCAAGATGAGAATAGGTTTGGTTTCTGCTGAGGTCACTCCCTGGCCAACTCACAGCCTCCATGGTGTTTCCTCTGTCCCTGTGTATTCTTTTTTAAAGATATATTTATTTTTATTGGAAAGTCAGATATACAGAGAGGAGGAGAGACAGTAAGACAGCTCTTCCGTCCGATGATTCACTCCCCAAGTGAGCACAACAGCCGATACTATGCCAATCCAGAGCCAGGACCCAGGAGCTCCCACACAGGTGCAGAGTCCCAAGGCTTTGGGCTGTCCTTGACTGCTTTCCCAGGCCACCTGCAGGGAGTTGGATGGGACGTGGAACTCCCGGGATTAGACTGGCACCCATATGGGATTCTGGCGTATTCAAGGTGAGGACTTTAACCTCTAGGCCACACCACTGGGCCTGTCCCTGTGTATTCTTAAAGGAACAGAAATTAGTTGTAAGTGGATTCACAGTGACTATAGTTTCTGGTAATCACCCTCGTTTAAAATTTTTTAAATTCATTTTTATTGGAATATTAAAAGCAGAGAGGATGGGAAACAGAGGAAGATCTCCCATGCACTGTTTCGCTCTGCAGTGGATGAAGTAGTGAGACTTGAGCTGATCCAAAGCTAGGATCCGGGAGCTTCTTCTGGGTCCCTTACATAGGTGCAGGATTCCAAGTCTTTCTGCCATCCTGACTGGTTTCCCGGGCCTCTAATGGGGAGCTGGATAGGAAGTGGAGCATCCGGGAAAGGAACCAGTGTACATATTTCATCCCAACACATGCAAGGTGCAGACTAATGGCACTAGGCTACCGTGCTAGGCCCAGTAATTACCTTCTTTGAAGTGCTGTTTCTTGGGCAACAACGGTAGTCTAGTAGCAAAGGTCCTTGCTTTGTAGCCGCTGGGATCCCATATGGGTGTTCATTCTAATCCCGACTGCCCACTTCCATTCAGCTCTCTGCTTGTGGTTTGTGAAAGCAGTCGAGGACAGGGCTTGGGACTCTGGACTTGTGGGAGACCCAGAAGAGAGTCCAGGCTACTTGCTTTAGATTAGCTCATCTGTGGCCATTGTGTTTGGGAAGTGAATCAATGGATGGAAGATCTTCCTCTCTTATGTCTGACTTTGTAATGAAAAAGTAAAGTATTTAAGAAAAAAATGTACTGTCTTGTTCCCAGCGTGGTGGCCTAGAGGCTAAGGTCCTTGCCTTGAGGTGCCAGGATCCTATATGGATACCGGTTCTAATCTTGCTGGCCATGCTTCCCATCCAGCTCCCTGCGTGTGGCTTGGGAAAGTAGTCAAGATTGGTCCGATGCCTCGGGACCTGCCCCAGGAGGCTCCGGACTCCTAGCTTTAGATCAGCTCATTGCCGGCCATTGTGGTCACCTGGAGTCTGAATCATCAGATGGAAGACTTTCCTCTCTCCTTCCTCCTCTTATATATGTGACAATGCAATGAAAATAAATTTAGAGAAAAGAAGAAAAGAATGTACTGTCTGAAAGTAGTGTCACATTGGGGATCCAGCCTCCATGCTATGAAATTTAGGGAAACCCATTTCTGTCTATAACAGTTAGAAGGACCCAGTGACCTGACGCAGTGATAACCATTTTGAAGTGTATTTGCTTCTTGAAACTAGTGTTATGATTGCTCATGGTTTCATTTTAAATATGCTCTCTGTCAGCAGTGCTCCATGCATACCCATTCCCACACATATCCAGACCACCTGTGTATGCATATATACAGCATTGTGAATATGCTTGATGATCATATGCAGGTCATCATTGGGTAATCCACAAAATACATAAAGTAGAAAGATTGATAAAATTTAACTGTATGCTACTCAACATGTGTAATTTTTAAAATATACATTCTAAAATTTGAGATAATAAGCAATGCAAAAGACAGACATAGCAATCCTACTCAACAGTCAACATGAGGGATGTCTTCCCATGTCTGTATCTACTTTTAATCATAGTTACTGGAAAGTAGCACTTGGGACTACATGAAAGATAGAATGATGCATTTCCAAAAGCGTAAGCCTAATACCATGGTCTCACAAAAAATAAATCAATGCAGGATTTCTACTTTTGATAAGCAATTGTACTACTCAGATTTTCAAGTACGTGATAAGTGTATTTGTCAACACAGAAGCTGATATTGTCCATTTAGTGAGGTTGGGTTAACATTTGCAAGATTAAAAAGAATTTATATTGTACTTGTAAGAATAAAACATGTTAATGCAGTCAGTGCCTCTGAAGCATATACATAATGAGGGTCATTAATGGGATGCGTATCACTGAGTTTAATTTTCTTTTGCCTAGTGTGTCCTACTTGTGTGGCAAATAGAGACATGCAAGTTCAGGGTATGCAAGCAGTCATGAGAGTGGAAAGGATAAAAAGACCCTGCATTCACCAGGTCACTCCCACCATGATCCCCTGGTCTCCATTGCAGGTTGGCCAGGTCTCCCATGTAGGTACCAGAGCCCATTTCTTGGCTTCATTCCCTGCCATGTCAGGTGTATTTTTATACACTGACCAGAAGCAGAATGGCTTGTACAGAAACTGGTGCTCTGATAACTGGATGCCAGCATTACCAGTAGTGGCTCAAGCAATTGTATCTCAATGACAATCCTCATTCAAAAAAGAGTTTAAAGAAAAGGAAAAAAAAGGTCTTATGAAGATTCTCAAAATGGTGCCAGAGAGACAGCAAATGAAGACATATTTGAAGAAAAATCAAGATTTGATCACGGCAGGGAGACTCAGTGTTATTTGAACCTAGAACTGGTTCTGCTATGCCCCATCATGACCAGGTCAAGTGGGAACTGCTCTCCAGGCAACTGCAACTGAGAACACAGACCTGCGCCCCCTGCTGAGTGCCAGCAGAAGATGACATCACCACTTTCTCTGTGCTCAGTTGCCTGCTGTCATCACCATGCTCTGCTGAGTGGTGTGAGAGGAATGGGCCCAGGGCCTGCAAGGGTTGTGAGGCTCTTATTGAGTATGAGGACACCTGGCTCCCATCCTCACCATATTTTTATTTGAAAGAGAGCATTATAGAAAAAGAAATAGAGACAGAGAGGGATCTTCTTTCTGGTGGTTCACTCCCTAAATGTGCTCATTAGCTGAAGGTGGGCTGGTCCTAGTTAGGAGCCTGGGGTTTCTCCCAGCCCTCTGATTTGAGTAGAGGGGCCCAGGGACTTAGAGCATCCTTTGCTGCTTTCCTAGCCATTAGCAGGGAGCTGGATTGTAAGTGTAGTAGCCGAACCCAAAGCAGCACCATATGTGATGACAGCATTGCAGGTGGATGCTTAGCCACAGGATTCATGTTCTATCTTTTCATATTTTTTTATTAAGATTGGCTTATTTTTATTACAAAGTCAGATATACAGAGAGGATGAAAGAGAAACATCTTCCATCCGATGATTCGCTCTCTATGTGACTGCACCAGCTGGTGTTGCACCAGGTCTCCCACACGGGTACAGGGTCCCAAGGCTTTGGGCCATCCTTGACCGCTTTCCCAGGCCACAAGCTGGATGGGAAGTGGAGCTGCTGGGATTAGAACCAGTGCCCATGTTGGATCCTGGCGCATGCAAGGCAAACACTTTAACCTCTAAGCTTTGGTGTCGTGTCCCACTAAGAATACATTTCTAGCAATATTGCTGTCATGTGTATCGATATGCTATGGGCTAAAGCCACTAAAATGGCATGCAAGTGTCATTGTGGGTTTAAAGGCAGGCAAGTGTCATTGAAGTCTTCAGAACTTTCATTTGGAACAATTACTAGAAAGCTGTATGGAATAAATATGTGTTATATCTCTGTTTCATATATTGTGTGGATAAAACTGTTCTGATTGAAAGATGTTTGACTTCTACAGATGTTAGCATTAACCTCAAGTGTGTTCCAATGGAAGTCCTTACCTGGAGTCCTATGCAGCTCATTGTAGAAATAGAGAAATGCGTTATAGCACCAATTGTTTCTCTGTAGCAGACATCTTGGTGACAATATATATTCTATGATATTTTGTAATTTGTACAATAGTACAAGTAGTTGTTGAAAAAATCGGTTACTGCTTGGCATTCACATTATCTATGATTATTATTAGCTAGAAGAGCTAGCAGAGAGCCAATCCATGGCAGGAGCCAGGAGCTTCGTCCAAGTCTCCCATGTGGGTACTGGGTCCCAAAGTATTGTGCCACCTTGACTGCTTTCCCAGGCAAACAATCAGGATGCTGGAATAAAAATGCAGCAGTCAGGACATGAATCAGCACCCATATGGGTTTTGTCACATGCAAGGTGAAGACTTTAGCCACTAGGCTATGGTGCTGGGCCCAGTAACATTTTTAAATAAAAAGTAACGGTTGTTTCCTTGAGTTTGTTTTAGTTTAATCAGTGCCAATTGTTGAAATTGCTGATACTGCTTCTACAAAGCCTTCATTGTGCTTGTAAAGCACTACTCTTGCCCATGGAAGCTGATTGCTTTTGTTCCTCCAGCCATTGTGTATGCTTTCTGCCTTGACATTACTTAGCACAGTAAGATTCACTAAGGAGACTGGGCACAAGCAAGAAAAACTCATCAGTCCCTCTGCCCACCTTCTCTTGCAGGTGTAGCCTTGCAGCCCGCTCATGCTTCCAAGGCTGGAGAACACACACACACCTTCAGTAAGTTGTTTGTTTACTTCTCACCTTGTTGTACATTTCATTTTAGGAAATTTATGGTGGTTTTTAAACCAAAGTGAAAAAGCAAGTATAAGAGAAAGAAGGCAAAACTTTCGTAAACAAGAAATTAGAGCTGTCAAAACCTGTTGAAACTTTCTGATGCCATAGCCAAGACATGATTATTACTATTACATGATTCAAATGGAAACTAAGAATTTGTTAATGACTGTAGGATATCAAGTGTCAAATCGTGTTTACTGATCATTTTATTCATTTATTTAAAGACTGACTTGCAGAAAGAGAAGAAGAGAGATATGTCTGCTCTCTGCTGATTGATTCTCCCAGTGGTCACAGTGGTCAGGGCTGGATCATATTACAGAGGAATAAGATAGTTCTTCTGAGTCTCCCAGATGAGTCTCCCACCCAAGTGCTTAAGTCATCTTCCACTGTTTTGAATTTACATTGACTTAGAGCTGGATTCAAAGTGATGTAGATGGTAGCTAAGACTGCTTTGCCACAATGGCATGTTCTACTGAAGAATGGTTTTGCTATTGCATGGTTTCTTTTTGTTTGTTTTGTCTTTAAGATTTATTAATTTGAAAGGCAGGTCTGCACAGAAAAAAAGAGGTGGAGAGACATCTCCCCTGTGCTGGTTTGCTTGTCAAATCACCAGAATGTGCAGAGATGAGCAAGTCTGAAGCCATGAGCCAGGAGTACTGTCCATGTCTCCTACTTGATTACAGGAACCCAAGTGCTTGAGCCATGCCCCACTTCCTTTCCAGGCCTGTCATCAGGGAGTTTGGTCAGAAGTGGAGCATCCAGGATATGTACCAATGTGCATGAGGGATGCCATTCTGTTTATTTGCTAAACCATAAGACTTGGTCCCTGTTCATTCTGTTTGGTTTTCATTTCACATGCAAAGTTTCTCCACTTGGTTATAATGGCAAGAGCTAAGGCAATCCAAAGCCAGGAGCCTCTGTTGGATCTGCCACATGGGTGCAGGTGCTCAAGGACTTGAGCCGTCCTCCATTGGTTTCCAAGGGCAAAAGCAGGAGACCGGATTGGAAGTGGCATACATAGGACCTGAGCTATACCTGTATGGTAAGCTCAGCCCACCAGGCCACAGTTCAGTCCACAGATACTGACTTGGTTCAGAGGAATCGGGCAGACCATGAAAACAATGACATGCTCCCTGCTTCTTCCAGATGATACCCTGTACTGGTTCCAAAGTTTGGAGACGGTTACAACCATAGGCAGTCCTTGAGTACCATTTGTAATATTAGTTTCATCATTTTACACTTCAAGCAGCAATACCTGATTTGCGTTTCTCTGTGAACATTTTTGAATGAAGGACATTGCAATGGGTATCAAGTGTTATCTCATTGTGGTTGCCATTTTCATTCATCTAATGATGAATCATGCTGAGAATCTTCTTGTGTTACTTAGGGTTTTGTTGATCTTTGTAGAAATATGTGTTCAGTTCTTTGTCCATTTTGGAATCTGTTTTTATTGCTTTTGAGCCTATTCGGGAGGTCCAGCCAGATGGCCTCAAGGTGCCAACTGAAGGGGTGAGGTGTCAGTATCCTCCAGCTGCAAGACCCAGTGTGGACAGTTTGAGGGCATGTCCATTTATTGTGAAATGAGCACAACTGTTATGGGTTAGGAAAGAAGATGGGAGCAGGGCAGTGCGTGACAGGCCTGCCACCCAGCAGTGACACTGTAATTGACTCTAAGGCATGTGTATCCCTTTAAACCCTCCAGTCTTGTCACAGGTCATATTCTGCACACACATGCAAGCCATGCCTCAGGTTACGGGAGGTGGGCTGTTTGTCATGCCCAGCAGGTGGTATTGAAGTTGACAGTGATACTATAGTGTAATACAGAATTATTTACTTTGCAACTGATGCACAAACTAAATGAGATTGTCTTGTAACTCTACCACTCAGTGACACTTAATGACTTTTTCAATGTCACAACTATGTTTAATGTTGGGCACGCAATTCCTAAAACCAGCCCACACTGAATGTGCTGTGATGTGTGAATAGGAGAGAAATCTTGGTAACTACAAATTGGCTGCTAATGCTATTGCTTCTCTTTTTCTTTTCCATTTTTAAATTATATTTTTGACAATCTTTACATAAGTAATTAGGGTAAAAAGGTTGAATGGCTACAGGAAAATGGGTAAGACTATTATTTCCATATTGTTTCCTTTACATGTCTGAGGTAAAGGGGGATTTTACAGGAGAAGCCCCAACCAGTCTCCCACCCATCCCAGGTCCCTTACGTGGGGCATGCTCTGAGGGTCTTGCTCAAGTGGTTTTGATAGTTCAACAGTTATGAATTGTTGTCAGTCTCACAACTCCAAGCATGATGAGGTCATTGTAGAATCCACTGATTGACATAGTCCATCATAGAGGCTTGGTTTGCCCAGTTTTTCACTGCCAACATATGGCTGAGGTAGTTGATTAACTTGTTCAGTCCTCTGTCTTTTCATGGCTAAGGTTCTGACTCTGGCAGTTCAACTGGGAGGATCCCTAAAGAAACTTTGTCTGATGTGTTCCCAGACCAGATTCTTGTATCTTCTACCAAGTGCAGGGCACGGCACAGTCCATCTCCGTGATCAGCTGGTTGTTGCAATTGCTGGGTTGGTTGTGTTTCCATCCCTGTCTTCCACTGGAACCAATGGGTGTTGCAGTCCAGCCTGATTCTGCACAGCACACACTCAGCCCTAACATAAACCAGTGGGATCAGCCTAGTTGGAGCAACCCATAATAACCCCCAGCAGGCCCGCCCCCTACCCTGGTTTGCCAGTCCGTGTGGCAAACTAGTCCAGTCTATCCCCAATCCCATTTGGCTCTCGTACATGTCTATGGGTATTAAAGCCCAGTTCCATCTAACCAGCTCCACTATGCAGTCCTCACGGATGTTATTGGGTGTCTCTCTGTCAAGCCACCCCAGCCACTGCCCTGGTTTTCGTGCCCTCCAATAGGAGTGGTAACCCAAGATGGAGGAGCCCACTATTTCACTCCCAGGCCTCTCTCACACCCGATTATGCACTCTGCAGGTGGTTCTGTGGTTTAACTTGACAGAATTAGCCTCCAGTACCGCCTTCTGCCAGCTGATGCTTGGCTAAGCTCAAACAACCCTCACACACTCTAATTTTTGTTTGCACCACGAGGAGCCATCAGCCCAGCCTGGCTTTTCCCTGATCTGGTCCACATGAGGCGCAGAGGTGTTGTAGCCCTGCCTAGTCTGGTCTGCACCCATCCCAGAGCACGCTCTCCAGTGGGAGTAGCTTTCCAGCAGGGGAGCCCCCTATGTTCTCCCTGCCTGTTCTGCCATCTCCCTTCCTGGTTCTCACATGTGCTGGTTGGGCGCTGCGGTCAGATCCTGTACAGGCAACCTCACCTTGGCATTCCATAATGTCCACTGGCTTTTTTTTTGCAAGTGAACCTCACCTGACCACACTCTGTTCTGGTGCTCAGATTTGCCAGTGGATGACGTGGACAGATTCAGCCTGGTCTGCCCCCGACCCATGCCAAATGTATGCCAGTGGGACACTTTCCATGGCCTGTTCTTGCTGTTTCCTTCCATGTTTCTTGCCCTTACCTGCCGGGTCTATGTCCTGCCAGAGGAGTTGCTTGGGCTCCTCCTCAGAACTTCTCCCAATGCCAGATTTCGCACATACCAGTGGGTCCAAGAGCCAGCCTGGCCTTCCATTTGGCCGTCTTGTATGAGATGAGCTGGTGAATGTTGCATCCTGGCCCACCCCACACCCTATTCAAGATCACATTTGGGTGCTGCTGCCTTGGCCATTCCAGACTGTTGTCAGTTCATTAACCTGTAACTGTCAGCAGGCTCCTTGGTCACACCTAATTTAGTCCATCACCATCCCTACTCTTGAGGTAACCAGTGGAGCTAGTATTTCCTTGGGCTTTGGCCCACACATCCCTCACAGAATCTACCCCTGATGTGGTTCTCTGGCATGCTGGTTAATGTCGTGGCCTTGCCTAATGTGACCCATCTTCTGACCCACTATCATGTCGGTGATAGGATATGATCGTGCTAGACAAGGCTGGAGTCTTAGGTTTGCATGGACTGGTGTTCAGTGACCAGCATTGTTCAGTGGTTACAAGTTCTTAGAAGGAAAAGTAACTCTGTCATTGGGAATGTTTAGGATTGATTCACATCCCACAAGCACAGTGGGTTCACCATGGAGGAACATAAGTAGTGATTCAAAGAACCAAAACCTCAGAGCAAGCCATCAGGAGGCAAACAGACAGAGCCTGACACCAAATGGTGCTGGCCACCTGGCCACAGCTCACCACATGCACATGGTGTCTGCAGTCAGGGATCCGAGCATGGAGATGCCCCAGCCTGGGACCCACCATCAGCCAGCTGGCTGCTGGAAGTTTCAGTCCCCAAGTCCAAGGTTGCGCCCCTCCACAATCCCATCCCCTGCCCAATGATGGCAGTGGGTGAGTCCCTGGCCTGCTCGGGCACCTGAGACTTCCCCCCTCAGTGTACTCACCCCAAAGGGAGCAGCCCTGGGAGCCCAGGCAGGTGTGGGCACAGCTCACCATGTGCACAAGGTGGCTGGAGTCATGGATCTGATCCTGGAGACTTATAATGCAATTCTTAAAGTACAACTTTGTCAATGTATTTTATACTTGGTTTTAATTGGAAAGTCCGATTTATAGAGAGATGGAGAGAAAGATCTTCTACCTACTGGTTCACTCCCCAAGTAGCCACAACGGCCGAGCTTCTGGAGCTGAGCTGAACTTAAGCCAGGAGCCAGGAAACCTTTCCACGTTTCCCACACAGGTGCTGGGTTCCAAGACATTGGGCCCCCGTCTACTGCTTTCCCAGGCCACAAGCAGGGAACTGGGAGGGAAGTGAACAGCCAGGATATGAACCATATGTGATCCTGGAGCATGCAAGGCAAGGACTTTAGCTACTAGGCTACCCCACCAGGCTCTAAATATATTTATTTATTTTTGTTAAATTTTATTTCGCATTGTTGAGTTTTATAGTACAATTTCTTAGACACTGGGCTCCCCAACCACCAAACTCCCACCACTTTACATTTTTCCCCAGTTGCTACAATAGTATAGTGCTTCTTAAGGAGTCAGGATTCCATGACTCTTTATGTTATTTAAATATGGCTCAACTTTGCTGGTACAGACAATGTCAGTCCAGCATTCCTTTGTCTACACATTTCCAAAAGTTTCATTGCGAGTTCATCTTTTATTTGGAAGCAGGGATGCATATTGCATTGTTTCCCCAAATCTGAATACGGTAATCTCTCTTTCTCCGTCACTATACATTCCCATGAATGAGAAGCCAAAAAGAAGGTAAGCAACCGGTATGAATTGGAGCAACAACAAAATTACAGCACAATGGAAAACACACCACTGGGTAACTAGCACATGGGTGACAAAAAGAAAACACAGTAGTCTCCTGGGTAAAATGATGCCACCATGTAATCCATGAGCTAGTGATGAATTTGACAAGAGTAAAGAAAGTATTTGGAAGAGTGAAACTAAAGTCAAAACACATGGCATGCAGTCAAAAATAAATAAATGAACAAGTAAATAAAGAAAATGATAAATAGGAATATTATTGAATGTGTTACTGACGTTAGACTCTGCATGCTGGGTTCCTTGTATTAGAGAGAATATTTGGTATTTGTTCTTTTGGGATTGATGTATTTCACTGAGCGTAATAGTCTGTAGCTGGGACCATCTCGCTGCAAATGGTGTCATTTCATTCTTTATTCCATGGAGTAGAAGTGCCACTGTTTCTTTACCCACTCCTCTTTGGATACACATCTGGGTTGTTTCCATGTCTTTCCTATTGTAGATTGTGCTGCTGTCAATACAGGATTACAGATCTCTTCTCATATGCAGGTTTCGTTTCTGTTGGGTATATTCATTCCTAGGGGCAGGATAACTGGGTCATATGCCATGGTTATTTGCAATTCTCCAAGCTGATGACCACAATGGTAGTGCTAGCCTACACTCCCGCCAGTAGTAAAGGAGGGTACCTTTCTACCCACATCCATGCCAGCAGCTGTTGTGAGAAGAGTTTTAGATGTAGCCAGTCAATGGAGTTAGGTGGTAACTCAATGTGGTTTTTGTTCTTATCTCCCTGGTGGCTAGGAGCCTGAGCATCTTTTCATATGTCTGTTAGCCATTTGACTTTTGTGTGTGTGTGTGTTTTTATGTCCGTTCTTTTCCTTTGACCATTTTTTTCAACAGGGTTTCTTGTTGTTTTGTTGTTTGTTTTGTTTTGTTTTGTTTTACTGGATTTCTGAAGCTCCCCTATCACTCGTGTAGTGTGCAAAAATGTTGTCCCAAATCTGTTGGTTGCTTCTTCACTTTGTAATTGTTTCCTATGCCATGCAGAAGCTTTGAGTTTGGTGTCGTCTCATTTGTCCATTTTGGCTTTGACTACCTTTGCTTCTGCTGTCTTTTCTAAGAAGCCTTTCCTTGTTGCTGTATATTGGAGTGTGCTTCCTATGTTTCCTTTAAATAGTTTCATGGTTTCTGGGTGCAGATTGACATGGCTGATCCATTTAGAGCTGATCATCCATCTGATGGTTCACTCCCCCAGCAGCCGCAACGGCTGGAGCTGAGCCAATCTGAATCCAGGAGCCAGGAGCTCTTCTGGGTCTCCCACATGAGTTCAGGGTCCCAAGGCTTTGGTCCATCCTCGACTGCTTTCCCAGGTAGCAGCAGGGAGCTGGATGGGAAGCAAGGCAGCCAGGATTAGAAGTGGGGCCCAGCACGTGCAATTTGAGGACCCTAACCACTGCGCTATCGTGCTGTGCCTGTTTAGTATGATGCTGCAATTGGGCTTTTTCTTAAGTTGTTTCGATTGTGACGTAGAATGTTCCCTCTGTGCTTATCTTGGTTAGGAATTACAGCATGAAGTGGTGTTGGATTTTATCAAATGCTTTCTCTGCATCTATTGAGAGGATCATATGGTTTTAATTTTCATTTTATTGATATGATGTATCACATTTATTGATTTGTGGATGTTGAATCGTCCCTGCACACCTGGGATGAATCCCATGTGGTCTGGGTGAATGATCTGCCTGATGTACTGTTGGATCCTGTTGGCTATGACTCGCCAGGGGAGTTTCCCCAGTTCTTCCACATGACCCACTCCTGGACTCAGTTCTCATACATGCCATTGTGATTTTAAGCCAGTGTCTGGGATAGTGTGCCCTTCCATTTGGCCGCCTTATATGAGCTGGTGAATGTTGCATCCTGGCCCACCCCACACCCTATTCAGAGTGCCAAATGATGGGATGATGAGCTTCTGACCATTTCTCCATTTCCTGTTTCTCCTCCCACTTAGTTAACTGAAGGCCCTGAGACTATTTCCACAGAACCAAGCAGTCCATCGTGAAAAGAGTTGAACTGGTTTCCTTGGTCACTTTTCAATTGAGAACTACCTGTCCAACTCAAATCTGCCCCAAATCAAATTTCTACCCACCGACAACTTCCTGTTGGGATGTCCAGAGAAAGGACACAGGGGTTTGGTGGGTCCTGCGTTATCCTTGCTCCTTCTCCTCTGTCTCCTGCCTGTGCTTCAGGGCTGCAGGAGAAGGCTAGGTTGGGATCTTGAAAACCGTCAGGGAAAGTGACCAAGAAGAGCAGCTTTCCCCTTGGCGTCTGTGCTTGAGGACAGAGTACAGTTGGTGCAACTCTGGTAGCATCTTCCTGTGACACCATTCTGAGGGCTCCTTCCCCTCTTTCCTCTGGGAGGAATGTCTTCTGTCTTGGTATTACAATCCTTCTTGCTATTTTCCTATGTAGCGCGTTTGTACGGATGTTTTTAAGCTCTGCGTCAGAAGGGAGTCCCAAGTATCAGTTCTCCTTCACTCTTCCCCCGTTCCTTCCTGCCTGCATCTTGTTGCTAGCAAAGTCTTTGTATACTCCAAGGTGTCTGGGTGGTTTTGTGCACACCTGGAGCAGGTCCATCCCAAACAAGAGAGTCACAATAGCCACCTCTGCTTGATAAGGCCTGCTGGTAGTACCATGCCAGGTAACACCCAAGGATGACCTTGGGAGAGCGCAGGATGGTTGATGGGCCCAGTCTCCATGGTCGCTGCTTTAGGGCCCATGAGCTATGTCACTTGTTTTGGCTGGCTGTTCCTAATATGGGCACATTTAAAGCCAACTCTAAGGTGCTCGCAGACAAGAGTTCTTCCCCTTGGCAACTCTGCTCTGTTTGGCAGCTGGGGTAGATAAGACTGGACTTCCAAATGTGTTGCTCCGTTTCTTGCCTTTCCTGTTTTACTCTGGATTCCCCTTTCTTCTCTTTCCTTCCTTCTTGCTCCTTTCTTTCTCTGCCAGTCCATTTTTCAAATCCACTTCTAAGATACCTCAAGTGTTGGTATCTGATAAAACCTGTTGCTCCTCTTATTTGAGGAGTAACCTTTTATTTTTAAGATGACTGCAGACCTATTTTTAAATGTTTCGGTACAATTCTGAACAGCAACTTTTTAATTAATGCCTTCCAGTGTTAGGAAGGTGGGAACTGTCCACAAGCGAGTCTGCTATTCTGTGTCGCTACCCATGTCCCCAATCCATTCTCCACTTTTCTCCTTTCTCTTCTAGTTTGGGTGTGCGTGTCTGCTGTCTGTAGAGAGTGGTTTGTGACACTGGACCATTCTGTCTTGTGATGGGATGTTCAAAGCCTACCCATTCCTTGTTCTTGCCCTGCGCTTTCTCATTCACGCTCCTTGCCACATGTGTCTCCTAGGGTTCTGGACTGACACAGGAATCCCAGGAGAGAGGCACTTGTCATAGACAAGTACATCCAGCCACTCATAAAAAGAAAAATAAAGAAGTCCTGGGAATTTCCGCTTGGATTTGATGCCCTGAACTCACTTGTTAAGTGATCAGATCCCAGGCTAAGAAAGAAAACTGTTTTTTTTTGAAACTCTGAATGCTGCTGTTTGTGAACACATTGTAGGAAGAACAGAGGAGGGATGTGTGTGGGACTTTGCTCTGTTTTCTGCTACAAAATGTGAATAGTTCAAAGAGTGAAAACATTTTGTGATGGTTGACGTCTCAGGAATAAGCTAGATCTCCAATGTTTGGGGAATGCTTTGACTCAAAAAGTGATCATCAGAAAAAAAAAGAGAAGGATCCAGAACTGAGGAGACACGTACTTTATAGATGTTGGTGTCATTTGAAGATGTGGCTGTGGACTTTACCCAGGAGGAATGGCAGCACATGGACAACACTCAGCGGACCCTGTACAGGGATGTGATGCTTGAGACTTACAACAATCTGCTGTCCTTGGGTGAGTGAAAATCTGTCCTGCCCAAACAGAAGACTTTTCTATGGTTGACAAGGGAAAGGAGAGTTTCTGAAGTTCCATGCTAGAAAAGACTGGCAGTGATGTCACAAAATCTACATCATTTTCCATGAACAGGGTACAGCTTGACAAAGCCTGATGTGATCTTAAACTTGGAACGACATTCAACACCATGGACCGTGGACAAATCTACAAACCGGAGACTTCCAGGTAGGTCAGCCCATAGTGGGCATTGAAGTTAACATATAGCTCATTAAAGGTTGACTGGAAACCTCTTTCTTTAATTTTTATTCTTTTTTTTTTTCCTTAATATATCTGATGTAAAAGGAGATTTTAAGGGAGAAGCCCCACCCAGAATCCCACCCACCCCAGGTCCCACATGTGGGGCATGCTCTGAAGGTCTTGCTCAAGTGGTTTTAATAGTTTAGCAGTACTGAATTGCTGCCACTCTCACCACTCCTAGCATGATGCAGTCACTGCTGAATCCACTGAATCACATAGACCATCATATAGTCTCCATTTGCCCAGTGCTTTCATTGTCAACATATGGCTGAGGTAGTTGATTGACTTGTTCTTTCATTTCATGGTTAACGTTCTGAGTCTGAAAGCTCGATTGGGGGGCTCCCCAAGGAAACTTTGTCTGAGGTGTTCCCAGACCAGATTCTTGTATGTACTAGCAGGAACCAGGCTCAGCACAGTGCATCACCCTGATCAGTTGGTGTTTGCAGTTGCTGGACTGGTTGTGTTTCCATCCCTGTCTTCCACCGGAACCAATGGGTGTTTGCAGTCCTGCCTGATTCTGCCAAGCACATACTCGGCCCTCGCATAAACCAGTGGGAGCTGCAAGCCAGTTAGAGTGATCCAACATAACCCCCGGCAGGCCTGCCCCCTACCCTGGTTTGCCAGTCTGTGTGGCAGACTAGTCCAGTCTGTCCCACCTCCCTTGCTGCTCTCATACATGTCAATGGGTATTAGAGCCTGTTCCATCTGCCAGCTCAACTATGCAGCCCTCACGGATGTTGTTGGGTGTCTCTCTGTCAAGACACCCCAGCCCCTGTCCTAGTTTTCGTGCCCTTCTGTTGGGAGTGGTAACCCAAGAGGGAGGAGCCCACTGTTTCCCTGCCAGGCCACTCAAACTCCTGGACCATGCAATCTCCAGGTGGTTCTATGGTTTAACTTGACAGAACTCACCCCCAGTGCCACCTTCTGCCATCTGATGCTGTGGCTAAGCTCAAGCAACCCTCACCTTCTCCGATTGTAGATTGCACCAGTAGGAGTAATCAGCCCAGCCTGGCTTTTCCCCTGATCTGGTCCACATGAGGTGCACAGGTGCTCTGGCCCTGCCTAGTCTGGTCTGCACCCATCCGAACTCACACTCTTCAGTGAGAGTAGCTGTCCAGCAGGGGAACCACACGTTATTCCCCTGCCTGTTCTGCCCCCTCCCTTCCTGGTTCTCATTGGGTGCTGTGGTCACATCTGGCCAGGCAAGCTCATCTTGGCATTTCGTGTTGTGTCCTGCTTTTGTCACAACTGAAGCTGGCTCGACCCACTTTGTGTTCTGGCATTCAGATTTTCCAGTGGATGGTGTGTACTGATTCAGCTTGGTCTGCCCCCTACCCATGCCTAATGTATGCTTGTGGGACACTTTCCATGACGTCTTCTGGGCTGTTTCCTTCCAAACTTCGTCCACTTACCTGCTGGGTCTGTGTCCTTCCAGAGGAGTTGTCTGGGCTCCTCCATCAGAACCACTCTGAGTGCCAGATTTCACGCAGACCAGTGGGTTCATGAGGCAGCACTACTCAGTTCACCTCCACACTTGTGCCAATAAAGACTACAACTGTATCCTGACCAGAACACAGCCCCATTCCAGCTTGTGTGCACCCTGGTGGGAACCTCCACCTAGCTAGGGTGTCCCTTTAGCTCCCCAACTGGGCCTGTTCCCAGCCATAGATCCTACACATGCCAGTGGTTGCTCAGACTCAGCTTGGCACAGCCCCTCACCTGTTGTGACCCCTGCCTTAGACACTGTAGCTCAGCATCTGTGGCTCACGCAGACCACAAGGTGCAAAAACATAGCTGGGCATGCCCTGTGCTCCAGCCTGGTTTCCAGTCTTACTTGTGGGTTAAGGGTTGCACAGTACTGCCCAATGCGCCCGTTCCATCACCTTTTCATACATTGATGAACCGTTAGTGCTACTTTGCCCAGCCTGTCCGACCCCCAGGTCAGGATAAAGTGTTCACCAGTGGGAGCTATAACTCACCAAGCTCACCAGGGGAGCTTCCCCAGTTTCTGCCCCTTATCCCCTCCCAGACACAGTCCTCCTACATGCCACTGGACTTTAGGCTAGTGCCCGATGCAGTCAAGTCATTCCTTGGCCTAGCATGAGCTGGTTAGCATTGCAGTCCAGCCCACCCCACACCCCACTCAGGATGCACACTTGAGCACCACAGCCCCGACTATTCCAGATAGTCACCAGGGCTACAACTGCCGTTGGTTCACTTGACCTGAAATCTCTTATCTTTTTTTTTTAAGTTTCCTCCCAGAGGATAGCTGATGAGACACAGGAATTCCACAAACTCCATGTGTAGGTTTACTCTAGCAATGCCTTCCAAAATTTGTTGGCGGTCCCGGTGCGATGGCGCAGTGGTTAAGGTCCTCGTCTTGCACGCCCGGGATCCCATATGGGCGCCGGTTCTATCCCCAACAGCCTCGCTTCCCATCCAGTTCCTTGCCTGTGGCCCGGGAAAGCAGTCAAGGACGGCCCAAGGCTTTGGGACCCTGCACCCATGGGGGAGACCTGAAGAGGCTCCTGGCTTCGGACGGGCATAGTATCGGCCATTGCACTCACTTGGGGAGTGAATCATTGGACGGAAGATCTTCCTCTCTGTCTCTCCTCTGTGTATATGCGCCTTTCCAATAAAAAAATAATAAAAATAAATCTTAAAAAAAAATTGCTGGCAAGTAACCTTACATCTAGAACTACTTATTGGTCTTTTCATGATGCCTCACACTTGAATCATCATGTGCCACCTGCCAGATACATTCTCAGGATGTTGTGTTTGAATCAGAGTACTCAAGCCAAGACAGATTGGTGCTGTTATGGGATGTACGATATCCATCCCAAGCCTTATTTTGAGTTTCTGTGCCACATTTTCACTGCTATCCTGCATCAACTTAAAATACACAATTCCAAGTAATTGAAAGTGTCATTTTAAAAAGTTGTTATGCTAATGAATTAATAAAGAAGAAGTAATGCTCATTAGTTATGTTCATAAATGTCCACATTTTATTAATATTAAAATGTACTCAATCTAGAATGGCAACAAACCTCATTGGCTTTAATTGAACATTTTAACAGAAAAACTTAGATGAGTTTCATGGAGATGGTTACTCTTTTCTTTATTTCAGATCGTTACAGAAAGAATGAGCTGCTTGGAGCTAATCAGGAAAGTGAAGAAATCATCTTCAGGCAAGTTGTAATCACAAACATTGTACAATAACCCAAAATGAAGTTGCATTGCCAAAGGTGATATGTTTCTGAAAATATACTGATTTTTATTGCAAAGTCAGACATACAGAGAGGAGGTGAGTGATTAAAGATCTTCCATGCATTGATTCACTTCCCAGGCAACAACAACAACTAGAGCTGAAGCGAGGAGCACGGAACCCCTTCCAGGTCTCCCACACAGCTGCAGAATCTCAAGGCTTTGGACTGTCCTCGACTGCCTTCTCAGGCCACGTGCAGAAAGCTGGATGGGAAGCAGGCTGCCTGGATTAAAACCAGCACCCATATGCGATCCTAGTACATTCATTCTAGGAATTTAGCCACTAGTAGTATATCTCACAGGGCCCTGATAAAGATACTTAAAATTAGCTGTGCCCATAATTAAAACATGATATGAATGAGAAATTGTACAAAAATGCAACTTAAGAAATATGATTTGCTTCTTTACATATACATACGTATTTCATTTATAGTTAGAGTGGTCATTTGAAAATCACGAGGTGAATGTAGAAAGCAGATGGAGTGAAATTATGTTACTTTTGTGAGAGCCAGAGGATGGTGTGCCTCTTGAATGGAGAGAGGTGGAGAAAACAAAATTTCAAAAGGGTCTTTGGTTTTGAAGTGTCCCCTGACCTTTCTCTGGGCAGGAACCTGTGAGTAACGCATTTTCCAGTGGTTTTCTCTCGAAGAGACACGGAATAAATCCTACTTTGTAGCTCCAAATATATCCTTGATATGCTATGCCTTCTCATGTCTCAGATTTAGGAAGACACACGAGTGATCTAATTGAGACAGGATACAAATGAAAGCAACTGTTCTTTTCTCAACTAATCTGTGTTCTATGGAATGGGTCATCTAAAGACCCACATAGGTCACTTCTAAAGATCAAACCCAAGGCACAGCTTGGTAGGCCAGCAGCTAAAGCCCTTCCTTTTGCATGCATTGATCTCATATGTGCACTTATTCGTATTCTGGCAGCCCCACTTAACATCCAGCTCCCTGATTGTTGCCTGGCATTGTAGTCGAGCACAGCGCAAAGCCTTGTGACACTGAACCTGTGTGTGAGACCCAGAAGAGTTCCTGACTTCTGGCTTTGTGTCAGCTCAGATTCAGCCATTGTGGTAACTTGCGGAATGAATCAACAGACGGAATATCTTCTTCTCTCACTCTCCTGCTGTCTGCATATCTGACTTTCCAATAAAAATATACAAATTTTAAACAACAACAAAAAAATCAAGGCCAAGAAGAATACTTGGGGGTGCAAGGAGTCTCATCACTCAAGAGAGAATAAACTAACCTGAAACATGAGAAAAGAACCCAGAGCTTGGGTACATGTCAGGTGCTTGGCATTCAGAATCCACCTAGTGTGTTTGAAGTCATGCAGAAAAGTGCCCTTTGCTGAGGACTGTCAATCTTCCCTAAGGAGCTGTCCAAACACAAGCATTCAGAGCCTAGGGTCTAATATGAAAATTGAGTTGATAAGGAAAGTGCAAGTAGGTAGGTGCTGAGCAGAGCGTCTGAAGTTTAAACTGCTGTACTTCCTACCTCCACCTCTCTAAAATGTAATCCCTCTGGAGATTTAGCTAGAGCAAGGCAGTGATTGGGGGTTGGGTCTTTGTTCAGGTGTTATATCGTGCACCAGAGCAAATGTTACCAGAAAGACTCAGTGCTTCTTTCTGTATCATATTATAGAAACAGAAACAGAAAATCAGTTTTCAGTAGATGTTTTACTTGCTAAGTGACCAGGTAAACTTGGATGCAGGGCAGAGAAAGCACCTGAAAGTAGAGATCTTAGAAGTCAACTTGCTTTTGAAAGGACAGAAGCAAGACACCGTAGCTCATTTGAAATCTTTTCTTCCCCCAGGATGCCTGATGAAATGCCTCTGGAGATAAAGCATGCCTCTAATTTGCCTGAGATCAAACTCCAGAGTGGGGAAAATCTCAGACAACATGATAAGATGCACACTTGTGAGCAGTCTTTTGAACCCAGTGGGAAAGAAAAAACTTTCAGCAGGAAGAAGACATTCCTTTTGAGAGAGAAAGTTTACACCAGCAATGCATGTAATAATCAACCTGTCAATGTGGGAGAGTCTGTTCAGGTTAAAGAGAAAATGTTAAGTAATAATCCTGACTTTGACAATCATCAACAAACACAATCAGGAGAGAAATCCCATGAGCATTTCCTGAGTGAGAAATCACTTATTTATAAAGAAGATGTCAAAGTCAATGAGATAACCAAAACAGCAAAAAGTTGTTATATATGTGGTTACTGTAAAAAGCCTTTTAACTATAAATCTTGCATTAATAGCAAACATAGAAGTGAAAGTGGAGCAAATTTCAATGTGTGCAATGAATGTAAAGAAAACATTGACCGAAAGTCAGAACTCATGGGAGATCAAATCCTTGACACTGCAGAGAAGGCATATGAATGTAATGAGCGTGGAAAAGCCTTTCACCAGCAAGTATCTGTCATTAGGTGTCAGAGAATTCACACAGACAGGAAACCTTATGAATGTAGTGAGTGTGGAAAATCATTTAAACTGAAGTCATATCTAATTTCACATCAGAGAATTCACACAGGGGTAAAAACCTATGAGTGTAGTGAGTATGGAAAAGCATTTAAACTGAAGTCATATCTAATGGCACATCGAAGAATCCACACAAGGGTAAAAGCCTATCAGTGTAGTGAGTGTGGAAAAGCTTTTCATTATAAGTCGGTCCTAATCGCACATCAGAGGATGCACACCGGGGTAAAACCTTATGAATGTAGTGAGTGTGGAAAAGCTTTTTATCAGAAGTCCTACCTCGTTAGACATCAGAGAATCCACACAGGGATAAAACCTTATGAATGCAGTCAGTGTGGAAAAGCATTTAAACTGAAGTCACATCTAATCACACATCAGAGAATCCACACAGGGGAAAAACCTTATGAATGTAGGGAGTGTGGAAAAGCTTTTTCTTGGAAGTCACACCTCATTACACATCAGAGAATCCACACAGGTGTAAAACCTTATGAATGTAGGGAGTGTGGAAAAGGTTTTTCTCAGAAGTCACACCTCATTACACATCAGAGAATCCACACAGGGGAAAAACCTTATGAATGCAGTCAGTGTGGAAAAGGTTTTTCTTGGAAGTCACACCTCATTACACATCAGAGAATCCACACTGGGGAAAAACCTTATGAATGTAGGGAGTGTGGAAAAGCTTTTTCTTGGAAGTCACACCTCATTACACATCAGAGAATCCACACCGGGATAAAACCTTATGAATGTAGGGAGTGTGGAAAAACTTTTTCTCAGAAGTCACACCTCATTACACATCAGAGAATCCACACTGGGGAAAAACCTCATGAATGTAGTGAGTGTGGAAGAGTTTTTTCTTCAAAGTCACACCTCATTACACATCAGAGAATCCACACCGGGGTAAAACCTTATGAATGTAGTGAGTGTGGAAAAACTTTTTCTCAGAAGTCACACCTCATTACACATCAGAGAATGCACACAGGGGTAAGATCTTATAAATGTAGTGAGTGTGGACAAGCGTTTTCTACAAAAGTCACACCTTATTACAAATCAGAGAATCCACACTGGGGAAGAACCTTATGAATGTAGTGAGTGTGGAAGAGGTTTTTCTACAAAGTCACACCTCAGTACACATCAGAGAATCCACACGGGGAAAAATCTTATGAATGTAGTGAGTGTGGAAAAACTTTATCCAGAAGTCACACCTAATGAAACATCAGGTAATCCACACAGGGATAAAACCTTATGAATGTAGTGAGTGTGGAAAAGCTTTTACGCAGAAGTCACACCTAAATAGACATCAGGCAAACCACACCGGGGTAAAACCTCATGAATGTAGTGAGTGTGGAAAAACTTTTTCTCAGAAGTCACACCTCATTGCACATCAGAGAATCCACACTGGGGTAAAACCTTATGAATGTAGTGAGTGTGGAAAAACTTTTTCTCAGAAGTCACACCTCATTGCACATCAGAGAATCCACACTGGGGAAAAACCTTATGAATGTAGTGAGTGTGGAAAAGCTTTTAATCACAAGTCCAACCTCGTTACACATCAGAGAATCCACACAGGGGTAAGTCCTTATGAATGTAGTGAGTGTGGAAAAGCTTTTTATCAGAAGTCACAACTAATCACACATCGGAGAAACCACACTGGGGAAAAACCTTATGAATGTAATGAGTGCCTAAAAAGTTTTTCTCGGAAGTCACACCTCATGAGACATCAGAAAACCCACACAGGATAAGAACAATGTGAATGTCCTTTGTGGTGAAAATCCTTTTGTAGGCAGATTTCATTACACATCAGAATTTACATGGGGGAAACATTACGAATGTAGATAATGTGCAGAATCCTCTTGGAAGTCGTCAATTTTCATTACTAAAACGTGTAAGGACATGTTAGCTGCCATAAACATACTGGCATGCTCTGTCAGCTTACAACGTGAATGAAACAAGCTTTAGGTAAAGTGCAAATAGAAAACACTAAAAGTGCAACAGAATGCAAAAACGCTTTAGAAGTTTCAGCAAGTGTTAAAAGTAAACATGCAGAATATCGGTGTATTTCAGAACACAGGTTATGTGTTGCTAAAATAAGATGCAATATTTGTGTTATCTTTATTTTGAAGGATAAAATGTGAATGAGTACTGCTTTCAGATTTTTGTTTCCTAATAAATCTTCAGTGCGTAACACTTGTTTGGAATACCATCTTTATCATTTACACACTGTATGTAATAAGAGTTTTCTATAGTTTTGTAATTCCACATGCTGTTTCAGACTAAAATTGGAAGCACAAATATGAATTGATGCATGTGACAATTCTATGCTACGACCCAGTATAAAGGATGAAGTTTGATCAGAGTGAAGAATCTTGTGACATCTGGCCAAATGTGGATCCCATTTGGCAAATGTCACTCTTTGACTTCTCTAGTGTGGGAGATCACCCCTGGATCTCTGCCCAATTATCCTTGTAGGAAGATATTGGCTCATGCCAAAATATGTCCCTGGGGGAAACACTAACAATAACTGTGGACCTGTGGAGGACATAGCTTAGAATCCTGCACCAAGGAGAAGAATCTGATCACTGAAGTGCAATGATCTAGAGCAAAAGAATACATAAAGGTAAAATGAATATTATTAAATACTCCCCTGCAAAGGAGGAAAACCTAATGCCAATCTCAGAGTTCACTGAGGAAGACATTGAGAAAATAAGGTTCTCAGAATTCAGAAAACTCATTATAAAGCTTCTGATCAACATTGAGAAGCACATACAAGAGATGAAAGATTTTAAGGTTCATTTGGAAACAAAAAACCATGAATAACTAAAATCATCTTGAAGAATAGAAAGTTAACAGGGGGAATCACAGTCCTGCCTCTGGTCATACTATATGATGGTGGTTATCAAAACAGCCTAGTTCTGGCACAAAGATAGAGAGGAGGATCAATGGGGCAGAATAGAAACAACAGAAGGGAACCAACACAGATAGAGCCAATTAATCTTTGACAAAAAATAGGCGACAGTCCATGCAAATGGGAAGGCTTCTTCAATAAATGCTGTTGGGACAAATGGGTAATAGCGTGCAGAAACGAGAAGACAGACCCACATCTCTCACCATACACTAAGATCACATCTAAATGGATTAAAGACCTAAACCTACATCCAGAATCCTTCAAACTTTTGGAAGATAATGTTAGAAACAGCTTGCAAATTTAGATGTAGGCCCCAACTTCCTAAAAAGGACTCCAAAAGCAATAACAATCAAGAGCAAAATGAACAAATCGGACTATATCAAACTAAGAAGCTTCCATACAGCAAAGAAAACAATCAACAAAGTAAAAACCAACCCAGAAAATGGGAGAAAATCTTTGCACACTACATAGGTGATAGGGGGCTAATCTCTAGAATATATAAGGATCTCCAGAACAACCAAAACAAACAAACCACTCAAGAAATGGTAAATGGACAAACATTTCACAAAGGATCAAACCCAAATGGAAAACAAACAAAAAGATGTTCAAGCTCCCTGGCAATAAGGGAAATCCAAATTAAGACAACAAGAAGTACCACCTAATGCCAGTAAGAATGGAAAACATACAAAAAAAAAAAAAACTGCAAGCAAGATTTTCTTTTTGGGATGGGGGGAAAAAGAAACACTATTCCACCTCTGGTGGGACTGCAGGTGGGTACAGCCTCTATGGAAATCAGTATGGAGAGCACTCAAACATTTCCAAATCTGCATACCATACGATCCAGCAACTGCACTCCTAATAATATATCCAAAACACATGTTACATGAGAAACCAACATGCACCCCTATGCTCATAGCAGCACAATCAATAATTGCAAAAACTTAGAAGCAACCGAAATGTCCTTCAACAGAAGACTGAATAAGAAAGCTGTGGTTGGTTCATTTACTTCATGGAATACTACTGAGCTAATTTACAAAATAAAATTAAGTTCTTTGTGGCCAAATGGGCCTAATTGGAAACCATTATGCCAAGGGAAATGAGCCAATCCCAAAAGGCTAAATACCACATGTTTGCCTTAATTTAAGATGATGTCAATCTGAAAAATAGTACCTGTAAATTGTAATATTATTTCAACCTCAGATAGCCTGTATCAGATGCAATAAGATATTGTGATGTAACCAATGGATCAACAAACAATGTGAGTTATTCTGCTTATGACCCAAATCAAACAATTATAAAACATGTTATAACTTTATGACCCTATGCTACTTGGAAATGGGGTGGGAGGGCAGAGTAGTCTTCTATCTCCTCAGAATATGTGAAGACGTGAAGTGTAACCTATCAGGAACATCAGAAGTAACTCATAGACAGCAGACGTGAATCAGTATTAAACAAGAGTAAAACTACAAAGATATATAGGGTAATCATGAGCGATCCTGCCACCCTTTTAACAGGAGGTCATATGCACAGAGCACGGGGGGGGGGGGCAGAGTGGAACAGGAGGACAGGAGGTGGCTTATATCCCCACCGTGGAGACCCCTGGATCCACACCTAGGACTATCAGTATGGGCACCAAGGAATACATTCTAACTGGCAAGGAGAACACTGGGAATTGGAGTGCATTTGGAGGCCGAGAACTCTGAGGTCACCCACCCCCACTTGAATTTACCACATGGGGTGGAAGAAGCCCAAATCCTTCTTTGCAGGATCCAAGTTTATGGGAACGATAACCAGGAGCCCTGAGTGGTCTACAAAAAAAAAAAAAAAAAAAAAAAAAAAAAACAGTAAACTTCCTTTGGGACTAGGGAGAGGAGCTTTCTCTGGTCCTTGCTTAGTTCCAAATTTGGGTCCCCATCCTCTGACATTGAGCATCAGGGATACTGTGGTGCACCCCAAAAAACAAACAAAATTAGAATAGATAGAGAACAACCAGGAAGCTTAGAACCAGACAGGAAACGGTCAGCCTGGACTCACACATACCTTACTAGGTAGGACGCGGAGATTAGATACTCCTCACTGGGGAATGGAAGATTGCTCTACACACTCCTCCTGAATCAGTTCTACACCTCACCTGTTGACATATGCCTTGCCAAAGTTATAAGCCAGTTTGGACTATCCTAAAATCTGCCAAATTCAGTAGATTTATACATCAATGCTAGAGACTGCTAAATACTAAAGTAAGGATAGACACGAAAGAGCTGAATTGTACCCTGCAGCCGTTTTATATGTATAGAAGCTGGTAGTATATAAACTAAAATCGAAATGTCATTGAAGTAGTCACAGGATGTGGTTAAGAACTTGCATTTTGTAACATTTGTTACTCAATACCATGACAATTAATTCCATAATGTTGTAAATTGTTGTTTGTTATGTTGTGGCTCTTAATTGATTGGGATAATATTCTGCCAGCTCTAACGTTGAATGTAGCTGGACAATCAGATGCTGGACTCTTTGCTTGGTATATGATTGCAATGAAAGAATCTCAAGTGAATTTGATTTGTAATACTGCAATAAGGTGGAGAAATCCATAATGGGGGGGAGAGCACAGGGAGGGTTTGGGGGATTCCCAGACGCTATGAAACTGTGTCATATACTGCAATGTAATATTAAAAAAATTGGGGAAAATCACTAAGACGCAGATGTAGGGAAGTTTTTACATAATACCCAAAAAGCACAGGTACTAAAAGCAAAATTAAAAAATCAAATTACTATCAAACTCTGCAATTTCTTTGTAACAAATAAAATGATCAGTCCAGTAGAGACATCAAGCAGAATGTGGGGAAAAGTATTTGCAAATCACCCATCTGGCAAAATATTTCTATTCTGAGTGTATCGGCAACTCAACAAAATGAATAACCAAAAACCATGAATCTTATTAAGAAATAGGTACAGGACTTCAATAGATAGTTCTCAAAGACATGGAGTAGCCCCAAAATACATGAAACCAGCTCTCTCAACATCCCTGGACATCAGGAAAATGCAAATCAAAATCACATTGAGGCATTACCTCACTACTGTCAGAAGGGTTAAAATCCAGAATACAGACTAACAAATGCTGCTGAGCAGGTGCAGAAAGCACAACGCTCACGCCTTCTTGGTGGTGATATCAATAAGTGTAGCCACTGTGGAACACAGTGCAGAGATCTCTTTAAAAACTAGAATAGACTTGCCATATGATCAAGCAATCCTACTGTTGAGTATACACTCAAAAGGCTTGGACGCAGTGTGTCAGAGATACTTGAAATCACCATGTTTGTAACAGCAGGAGAACTCAGCCCTCATCACACTCACAGACATCAGGAACCCATACACCTAAGAAGCTGTCCCATGCTGCCTCCCAGGCTATGCCTTAGCAGGAAGTGGGAATGGAGCTGGAGAGGAACTCCAATGCCAGCCTTCTAAGATAGGATGCACAAGCCCTGGGTGACATCTGAACAGCTCTGCCCAATGCTTCTACAGCACACAGTGGAGGAGTCAGTGTTGTGCAGTCACCTTATCCTCTCTACTGGAACAACAAACTGCAATACCCACTTTTCTCCTGATTAAACTAATCTTTCCCGCTGATGAAAAGGATAGTTTAGCTCATTACTAGCCATATGTACTCTGATCATCCAAGGCTGTTTATTCACCATCCTGCTTGTCCTATATATGTTGACTATAACATTTATTTTAAGTTTGTTTCATGTGGCATTTTCTGGCAAGAAATAATTAGATTTACAAAATGGGAAAAAAATTTTTTTTTGCCTGTTCCAAACCTGCTCTACAAAGGAAACTTCA